TTGGTCCGTGACTAGTTAGTCACGGTTCTAATCACGATTTAGTCACTGATCGTTAAAAAAAATAGTCACGGATTTTTCCGTGACTACATCCGTGACTATGGTTAGTCACGGATGTGCAAAAAGTGTGAAAGTACTAGGTTTAGTTACACCACACCAATAAAAGTAACCTAGACATGTGCAAAAAGTGTAAAAACATTAGGTTATAGATATAAATTGTAGACATGACCATCATATAAATATAAATTGTTTTTGTTTTTAAAATTACTAATAAAAAAGTTATAGATAGAAAATTACGTACTCAATAACTTTTAGTTATCAAAATTGTGTTCAAATTTACATCGTGATAACTTAGATGTAATTACTATGATATAAATTTGAACACAATTATGGTAACTAATACTACATATTTAGTAAGTAATATTTTTGTCTACCACAATTTTAAAGAGTAATATTAATAGAATTTTTTCATATAAGTCTTAGGAATAAAGATATAAATATTATCTATAGCTTTGTGGAATAAAAAAAAGTGACCGTTTTTTCTTTTTTCCCTAAAATATAACTAATTTTTTGTTTAATTAATTCATCTTTTTTTCATTGTGATATATATCCAGTCTATTTCCCAATCCCCCTCCCCCACACCTCTCCCACACCCTCATAAGACTTCACATATCAATACATTGAAACCTTAAAATTGTAAGACTTCAATATATATAAAACTTCATAAAATTCTTATGTGTTGTTCACCCTCATTAAAGAGGGTAATGTATAAAATTCTTATACATTAAGACTTCAAAAAAATTGTGTGCGAAATGTATATAAGTTTCGTATAAAAATAGAATTTTCAAGGGATATACTCTCTCCATTAATAGCAAACGTATGTACGTACACGTATTGGGCGACCCAGAAGACTTTAGTTTCAAATACACAAGTACACAATGATTAAATTGGTACTTCTATCTGAAAATAAACGACCGGACACAAAATCAACTTTTATCCCAAATATGCGTACGGGCTTTTTATTTAATCTGTACGTAGTAGCCTAGACTTGTACAAAAAGTGTAAAAGTACTAGGTTTAGTTAAACCACACTAATAAAAGTAACCTAGACATGTGCAAAAAGTGTTCAAACATTAGGTTTAACCTAGTCTATGTTTAAAAGTAACCTAGACGTGACTATCATATAAATATAAATAGTTTTTTTAAAATATTACTAATAAAAGAGTTGTGGATTAAAAAATACGTACTCAATAACTATTAGTTATCAAAATTGTGTTCAAATTTAAATCGTAATAACTTACATGTAATTACTAAGATGAAAATTTGAACACAATTATGATAACTAATACTACGTATTTAATAAGTACTACGTAATATTTTTGTCTACCACAATTTTAAAGAGTAATATTAATAGAATTTTTTCATATAAGTATTAGGAATAAGGATATAAATATTATCTATAGCTTTGTGGAATAAAAAAAAGTGACCATTTTTTCTTTTCCCCCTAAAATATAACTAAACTTTTGTTTAAATAATTCATCTTTTTTTCATTGTGATATATATCCAGTCTATTTCCCAATCCCAATCCCCCACACCTCCCCCACACCCTCATAAGACTTGACATATCAATACATCGAAGCCTTACAATTGTTAGACTTCAATATATATAAAACTTCATAAAATTCTTATGTATTGTTCACTCTCATTAAAGAGGGTAATGTATAAAATTCCTCTACATTAAGACTTCAAATAAAATTGTTTGTAAAATGTATATAAGTTTCGTATAAAAATAGAATTTTTCATGGGATATACTCTCTCCATTAACAGAACACGTATGTACGTACACGTATTGGGCGACCCGGAAGACTTTAGTTTCAAACACACAAGTACACAACGATTAATTTTAGTCACGGACCCGGAAGACGTATTTTCCGTGACTACGTCCGTGACTATGGTTAGTCACGGACTGTTCCGTGACTAGTTCTGTGACTAAAGTTAGTCACGGACGTATCCGTGACTAATTCCGTGACAAGTGCAAAATTAATTTTTTCATCGTACCAAATTTAAAGTGCTCCGACAAATCGTACAAAAATATGTAGTCACGGACACATCCGTGACTACAAGTTTTATATATGCAGCCTCCGCTTCATTCAACAAAATCACACCATCTACTCCAGATAGAATTCCAGATAGAATTGAAGGATGTAATCTACCCATCTCATATCATTTTTCCTGTTTATGCAGATAAAGTATGTAATTTGAATTACGTATTTTTTGTATGAATTAGTTGGTTCATTTTAGCTACATTAGTTAAATTAATTAATTAGCTACATTAGTTAATTAAACTTTTGTTAATATTATTAGTTAAATTTAAATTAAATGCATTTAAATGCATTAAGTAATTAAAATAAATACTTAATTAATTAACGAAATAAATTCCTTAAATTTAGTTACGTTAAACGTTGGTGTAATTTAAACATAGGGTTAAATAAATTGTATTTAATTAAAATTACGTAAATTAGTTAAATACATTTAGATGATATTATTAATATTAGTTAAATGTAAGTATTATTTAATTCAAATGACTTTATATATGATTAAATATAAGTATATGATTTCTTTATTAGCAATTATTGTTAAGGCGGCCTAATTTAGGATTAATAATGATTTAAATTTGGGTTAGTTAATTGAAACATTACTTAAGTATGTTGATTTATGATTGTGAATTACGTAAATTAGTAAAAAAATTATAATATTAGTTAAATTTAAGTATTATTTAATTTAAATGAGTTTATTATATATATGTTCAAATTATTGGATTTGCTCATATTATTTAATTTAGTAAATTGTTAAATGTGCATTATTAATAAGATTAAGATGTTGATAATTTTAGTATTGTGGATTAAATGCCATTAATGTATTGTGCATGTTTATAGTTTAATAATATTAATTATTGGTCGTTAGTTAATTTTAAGGGAATTTTAGTGAAATTTACTGAAATTTAAGGGAATTAATAATAGTTATTGAGTACGTAATTTTTTTATCCATAACCTTTTTATTAGTAATATTTAAAAAAACTATTTATATTTATAATTTTATATGATAGTCACGTCTACCATTGTATTTAAACCTAATGTTTTCACACTTTTTGCACATGTCTAGGTTACTTTTATTAGTGTGGTTTAACTAAACCTAGTACTTTCACACTTTTTGTACAAGTCTAGGTTACTACGTAGACATTAAATAAAAACTACGTACGAATATTTGGGATAAAAGTCGATTTCGTGTCGGGTCGTTTTTTCCCAGACAGAAGTACCAATTTAATCGTTGTGTACTTGTGTGTTTGAAACTAAAGTCTTCCGGGTCGCCCAATACGTGTACGTACATAAGTGTGCTGTTAATGGAGAGAGTATATCCCTTGAAAAATTTTATTTTTATACAAAACTTATATACATTTTACAAACAATTTTATTTGAAGTCTTAATGTATAGGAATTTTATACATTACCCTCTTTAATGAGGGTGAACAATACATAAGAATTTTATGAAGTTTTATATATATTGAAGTCTTACAATTGTAAGGCTTCGATGTATTGATATGTCAAGTCTTATGAGGGTGTGGGGGAGGTGTGGGGGATTGGGATTGGGAAATAGACTGGATATATATCACAATGAAAAAAAGATGAATTATTTAAACAAAAGTTTAGTTATATTTTAGGGGAAAAAGAAAAAACGGTCACTTTGTTTTATTCCACAAAGCTATAGATAATATTTATATCCTTATTCCTAATACTTATATGAAAAATTCTATTAATATTACTCTTTAAAATTGTGGTAGACAAAAATATTACGTAGTACTTATTAAATACGTAGTATTAGTTATCATAATTGTGTTCAAATTTACATCATAGTAATTACATGTAAGTTATTACGATTTAAATTTGAACACATGTTTGATAACTAATAGTTATTGAGTACGTATTTTTTAATCCACAACTCTTTTAATAGTAATATTTTAAAAAAACTATTTATATTTATATGATGGTCATGTCTACAATTTATATCTATAACCTAATGTTTTCACACTTTTTGCACATGTCTAGGTTACTTTTATTGGTGTGGTGTAACTAAACCTAGTACTTTCACACTTTTTGTACAAGTCTAGGTTACTGCGTACACATTAAATAAAAACCAGAGCCGTCTAATGAATTTGGAGGCCCCGGTTCCAAAGGCAAATTCAGCCTCCCCTCCCAAAAAAACAAGGAAAAATACAAAATTTAACAATGAAATGTAAAAAGATTAGATAATTCAGTTAAATATAAGTTTTATAATGTTTAAAGTACTTAACTTAGACAATCTAAAAGTTATACATCTAGAAAAATCAACGTATAACTATTACTACATACGAAGTACTGCATTTTTGAAGCCCTTTATAAAAGTGGACCACGGTGCCAAGCACCTATTGCATCTCCTAAAAGACGGCCCTGATAAAAACTTCGTACGAATATTTGGGGCAAAAGTCGATTTCATGTTCGGGCCGTTTATTTTTATACAGAAGTACCAATTTAATCGTTGTGTACTTGTGTGATTGAAACTGAAGTCTTTCGGGTCGCCCAATATGTGTACGTTCATACATGTGCTGTTAATGGAGAGAGTATATCCCTTGAAAAATTCTATTTGTATACGAAACTTATATACATTTCACACACATTTTTTGTAACCTGGTAATGAGCTAAACCCTTTATTGGGGTGAGTACCAGAGAACACCTCACCTATTTATTCGAAAAACCAAAGTGTACATGCAACAATAGGGGGACTAGACTTTTCGCACACATTTATACGTAATTGTTTGTGTCTGTCAACAGATGATATGTAAATTCCTAGTTGCCCGTGCACACAGACAACGAATGTAGCATTATATGTGTACACATACAATTACGTATAAATGTGTATGAAATGTTTACAAATTTCGTGCACATAAAACAATTCAAGATATAAGTCCCCCGCTTATTTATATACACACAACAAAGGCACCGTTCTATGAATGATTTCACATTGAGACAATTTGTATGGTGAGACTTGAGAGTAGTAGCCATGGCCAAAAATGCTAATGACTTAATGGACTACTTCTTGGAGAATGGCCATGAAAGTAATGTTGAGGGTAATTCAAACACAAGTGGTGGTGATGATCATGATCATGATCATGATGATGATGTTCATGGTTATGATGATGATAAAGGTGGAGATGATTTTAGTGAACAAAAGTTGGATTCCTCATCGTCCTCTTCTCTATTCTTCTCCCAACAATGGCCACAGAGTTTCAGGTTTTTTTTCGTGTTATGCGCCCCACGTACAGCTGCGCTGCTTTCTATTGTTTAGCTTTCACTTGCTTACTTCGCTTATTGTGTTTTGGCGTTTTACAATGTTAGCAGCTCAAATAATTGTACCGCACATGTAGCTCAGTTAGTCGAGTGGTGGGAAAATTGGATCAAGTGATCAAGGTTCGAAACTCGCAGCGACCGTGTGGAGGTTACAGAACCTGAAATAAGGTTTGACCTCTGGTGCGCACGTGTATAAGACCTACCACCGCTTTGTTGACTAAGTCACCGTGATTAACTCCCCCACCATCCTGTCGGGTCGGGTGTGAGGCTCCTGGGGTGGGAGATTCCACCTTTTGGACCAAGCTCAAATAATTGTATGGAAACCTATTTATGTGTAGTCATTTATGTTGTTTCTAGTGTCCGTTTTGAATTTCAAAATTTGAAATTTTGTGACTTGTGTTAAGAGATTAAACTCAGAGGTCGTTTGGTAACACTGTTTTCAGGCTTATCTGCCAACTTTTTCACCAAACACGTAACTTTTGCTTTCCCGCGCTGAGTTGTGTAATAAGCAGAAAAAGTAAGGTTGTGGTTACTTTTCTGGCTGTATTGGCTGAAGTTACTGTAGATGACCATTTTAGCTATTTTTACATATAATTTTTTCTTTATTTTATTAATAATATATATTTTAAAAGTTTTTTTTAAATCAGCAGAATCAGCCAATGCAGCCACTTCAGCCAGAACTTCATAAATTTCAGCAGAATCAGCTAAATCAGCCGATTTTCGTGCTACCAAACGGGCTCTCAGATTGAGAGCTCGTTTGGTAATCCCTTTTTCGGTTTAACAGGATTATCAACCAACTTTTTCACCGAACGCGTAACTTTTGATTTCACGCAATGAATTGTGTAATACGGAGTAATAAAAAAAGTAACGTTGGAGTTACTTTTCTGGCTGTATTGATTGAAGTTACTGTAGCGGACCATTTTACTATTTTTACATATAATTAAGCGCCAGCTCTTGTATTACTTCACAAAAGCCGCCACTCTGAGTGACGGCTCTTCTCTTATAGTACAAAAACCGCCACTTCAAGTGGCGACTCTTCTCTTATGTCCCATTTTGTACATATATAAAACGCAGTATGTTTCAAGAATTTGTTTAACTGCCTTACTGATTGAATTTTGAGCTGAAATTTGGCATGCATAAACTAGACTTGATGAGGAACATGCTCAAAAACTTTCATCAAAAAATTACACCAGAAACACCCACTGATGGTGTTGTCCGTGGGGGGTTCCAGTCAGGACGTCATGACAAAAGGGTGAACCGGCCACCTCAATTTGAGCTTGTTCCCGGTGGTATGTTTTGATGAAATTTGTTGCGTGTGTTCTTAATAAATTCTAGTTCAGTCATACCAAATTTGAGCAAGACACTCAACCCGAAAGGCTGTCAAATGATTTTTGAAAGATAACTACGCCGGATTATACATATAAAACGCAGTTATCTTTAAAAAAATAATTTGACTACTTTCCCGATTGAGATTGGTTCTGAAATTTGATATGTATTAACTAGACTTGATGAATAATATACACAAAAATATTCAGCAAAACATGCCACCGGAAATCACCTCAAATTGAGGTGGCCGGACCACCCTTTCATCATGATATCCTGACCGGAACCCCCGCGGACAACACCATTAGAGGATGTTTCCGGTGGAAATTTTTGATGAAATTTTTTGAGCATGTTCCTCATCAAGTCTAGTTTATGCATACCAAATTTCAGCTCAAAATTCAATCGGGAAAGCAGTTAAACAAATTCTTGAAATATACTGTGTTTTATATATGTACAAAATGAGACGTAAGAGGAGAGCCGCCACTTGAAGTGGCGGCTTTGGTACTATAAGAGAAGAGCCACCACTCGGAGTGGCGGCTTTTGTGAAGTAATACAAGAGCCGTCACTTGGAGTGGCGACTTTCCTTAACCGTGATTAATTCCAGCAGTATTTTGGGAATTATTCTTAACCCGGCAGTATTTCGGGAATAATTTATTTAATTAACATTATTCCGGAAAAAAACTCCACATTGACTACATCAATAATGTAATGCTTCTAAACGATGAATGTTTTTAAATAATTATGAATAAAGTAAGACGGATCATAGTTTGTCCTGAGTATTTAAAAAATGGTTTCTTTTATATAAATATATATACAATAAACTAATTTGATCAATAACCCCAACAGATGGATATGTTTTGTGTAATAAACAATTAAGTATATATTCTCTAGACTAAACATTAACTTTCTACTCCTAATCTAGTTATATAATTTAATTAAGGAGAAATTATCCTAAATAGGAATAGATGAGGTTTGGAATTTCAAATTAGGACTACTATGTTTTTCTTCCCGAAATAGGATTTTTTACTGCCATGTATGAAAAATACTATCATAATTAAAAAATACAGTCATTAATTATAATAAATACTGTCATGTTAAATGCAGTGTACTCTAACTATTTGACAATCACGTCTATAAGATGACGGTAAATACTGTCATGTTTGTCCTATTTCGAGAATAAAAACATAGTAGTCCTGTTTTGGAATTTCAAACTCCATTTGCTCCTATTTTGGAAATCTCCCTTTAATTAATTATTAGAAATTGCTCTAAATAGGAGCAAAAACGTTTTGAAATTCCAAAATAGGAGTATCATGTTTTTTATTCCCCGAATAGGAATAATGCGCCAAGTTTGGAAAAAAATGTCATGTTTCAAGATTAATGTAATGAAAGGGAGCTTCAAGATTCATGATAGTTATGCATTCATATTCAGGACCATGCTTACGATTAATCAAACTTGTTGTCCTTAGTTCAAAGTCATTGGTGCTAGCTCGTGCCTCATTCCCTTAACTTTTTATGATTGGTAGGGAAACAATGGACTCATTCACAATTGCTGCACCACCAAACTTGGGCCTTTTGAGGCGTGGATTGAGCTCCTCAGTTTCACCTTATGATAAAAATAAAAGTTTTTTCATCTCTGATGAAAAGACACAATTTCTCTCAGGAGCTTCTATTCATGAAAAACTCCCGGGGGAGCTTCCTCTTAGCCATGGATGTAGCTTCATACAAACGGTAATAAATGGTAAGTCAGTAAAGAGTAGACGGTAAATCTTTCAAACTAAATATATGAATCTGCATTCTCATATCAGTCTCTAATAATTTCTGATTCAGGGCTCAATGTGATCGCTGGAGTTGGGCTTCTTTCTACCCCTTTCACTGTAAAAGAAGCTGGATGGGCTAGCCTTGTGGTTTTGGTTTTTTTTGCTGTTACTTGTTGCTATACAGCGTCTCTTATGAAGCATTGTTTTGAGAGCAGAGACGGCATGGCAACTTATCCTGACATGGGTGAGGCCGCGTTCGGAAGATATGGGCGCATTATCACATCTGTAAGTTCTGAACATGGATTAGCTAGTATAGCTCATTACCTTATAAACGGATGTGTTTCTTTTCATATTTCGATGTGTAACTCAAGCTTAATAGAATCCATAAACTGTATCTTTCAAAGAAAAGAATTCCTAAACTGCAAAGCCGAAAATCTATTGATGCAGTTAAGATTAATATTACTTCTCTGTTCATTTATCTTGAATAGTGTAACAATGTAACCATTCAAACAGCTTGGTTGGGTTTTTTTATTTAGCTGACATTATGATGCATTTGCTTTGTGTACAGATACTTTTGTTTACAGAATTATATGTAAGTGAATATCGCATTCAGTTTAGCGCTTCTCAGCATGAATGTTATCTCTTAAAGGTATTATTTTGTACTATTTTAGTCATACTGTGTAGAGTTTCTCATATTGGAGGGAGATAATCTCACAACTTTATTTCCTGGAGCTTGCTTCAACTGGAATCGTCTGCATCTGGATTCTACACATTTATTTGGACTTCTAACTGCTCTGATAGTTCTACCAACCCTCTTTTTGAGGGATGTTCGGTTTATATCATATCTTTCAGGTGCACCTGTCGATTTCCCTTCTCTGCATCGTTAAGGGTATGTTTGGGTCTTGGAAAACTTGAGGAAATCTGCTAAGGTGTACTTATCTTTAGTTGTATCTTTGTAAAGTGCAACAGGAAATGATATCTGATCATTTTAAACAAAAGTGCATATATTTCGTCTGTTAAGAGTCGACATAATCAAACTCTCATCTATGTTTTCGTATCTATTATCATTCCCTGGTATTTTCTTGAATACAAACAGACCCTGAAAGTGTAGTTCTTTGCATTATAAACTTATAAGATACTTAATAATTTCTTCATGCTGCAGCCTGTGGTGTTGTTGCAACTATAGCCATTGTAGTTTCTGTAGCATTACTCAGTGCTGTAGATGGAATTGGAACGCCCCAAACAGGTCAATTGGTGAATTGGAATGGCATCCCATTTGCTATTGGTGTGTATGGTTTTTGTTATTCCGGACACTCGGTCTTCCCCAATATCTACCAATCAATGGCAAACAAAAAAGAATTCACTAAGGCAATGATCATATGGTATGGGATCTAGTTTCATTTAGACACTAAGAAGCACCCTATTAGCATAATCGATGTAATCCATATCGGTTCATACTTCATATTTAATCTCGTTTAAGAGATGGACTTCCTCACCCTATTTCCTGGGTCCTAACTTCTCTTTTTTTTTTGGATAAAAGTGGGTCCTAACTTCTCAACTTGAGGCTCATGCGCCAATTCTTATATGTTGTTTCGGTTTTGGGCTTTATAAAAATAATGCTGGAGTATCTTGTCATGCAGCTTTATTTTGTGTGTTGCACTATATGGGAGTGTGGCCGTAATGGGATATCTGTTGTACGGTCAGAGCACGCTGTCTCAGATCACTCTGAATATGTCGCCTGATTCTATTCCTTCAAAGATTGCTGTGTGGACAACGGCATGTGTTTGGCTCCCTACATAACTACATAGCCTTCTTCATTAGGTTAGACAAATAATGCCTTTTCTTGTGATTTTATATGCTTATTAGTGTTGTTATTTTCAACAGGTTATCAACCCTTTCACAAAATATGCACTTATGATGAATCCATTGGCTAGGGCCTTGGAGGAGTTTCTGCCCGAGAGAATCTCAAGAAGCTTCCTGTGTTTTATTATGCTTAGGACACTACTTCTCCTTTCAACTGTTTGTGTTGGATTTCTTCTTCCTTTCTTTGGTATGTATCTTGTCCCCAACCAAAATTTTCTTTTGATTTTGTGCCTTACATAAAAGGAAATAGTTCTGGTAAACAAACTCAACTTGAAATACACTTTCTGATTAATTTGACTTAACTTGAAAGGAGCTAAAGATATTTAAGTTTCACAATGCAAACTCAAATGAAAGGAATGGTCTTTACTGATATTGGGCTTCACCCATGCATGCCATAACATGAAGAGTTACTCGTGTTGCAGGCCTTGTGATGGCTTTAATCGGCTCTCTTCTCAGTATATTATTGGTAAGCACATCTCCTAAACTATCATCACCTTTAATCCCAAGTAATTATGATAGGGTCAGGTTCATGAAAATTATTGTGTTAACTATGCTTCCTTGCCTCCTTGGAGATGATAACAAGTTGTCAGTGTCTGGAAAGGCTTGTGCAGTTATAGTTGCTCCAAATCTACTCAAATATTTGGTCTATAAATCTCTATAAGATGAGCTGAAAGTTTTTGTGAACCGATGCTGGTGTTATTCTTTCAGGCGGTTATAGTTCCGAGCGTATGTTTTCTGAAGATCATGGGTAAGAAAGTTACAAAGACACAGGTAATCAAGACAACTTCAACTTTGCTTGAGGATGACTGCACATAAATATTTTTCTGTTGCTAGTCTACAACATCATCCAACGTATTTTTACTGTACTGTATAAGATCACATCACAGCGCCCTGTCCCATCACCACCCCACAAATCTGGCGACTCCACCACTGCCCGGCTTCCCCTAGCCCTAAGCATCAGCACCCCAGCACCCCTCCCCTGCACCGCCCCTGTCCTGTCCCAGCTTCACTCTGAGGTCAGTTCTCCCAAAACCCTACCCATACCACAACCGCACCTCCACAGAAGCGTTGTCACACTCTGCCAGGAGCGGCGGCGGCAGATCCCAGTCGCCGTCCACCAAATCCATCGAGGACGGCGGATCGAGCACCGATGAAGCTCCATCGCAGAAGACAGAACCTGCGGAGGCATGGTCACAGAGGATGAAGCGCAGATCTCGACCGCGAATCAATTTCAGTCGCAGCGATGGCGTGGAGAAAATGAACAATGCGGTTGCAGGTAAGGCAAGCAGCGGCGAAGAAATAAGAGAAGAAGAAGAGTCGCGGATGCTACGACGTGACCGGGAGGAGGATCTGTGACCTCGCAGAGACATAATTCTTTTTTAAATTAAATGATCGTTTTTTTGTCCTTTCATAAATTGTCATATTTTTGTATCAAAATCATGTTTTTGCATAGACCAGACTTTATGAGATTAAACTAGACTTTATCAGACTTTATAAAATACACATGAACCAGACTTTATCAGATTAAACTAGACCAGTTCAGATTAGACTAGACCAGATCAGACCAGACCAGAAAATTTTAGTCTAAGTAAAAACATCCTTATAGTCCGTAACTCATATTTTCATCATTCTTTCTTTTTGAAAATAGCAGAGTCCAAATGTACAACCAAATTAACTTACCGAAATAACAAATTTCTCGATTAACCGGAAAGTTGGTTAACCAAAACACGGTTAACCGACCATGCCCACCCCTAGCTCTGCCACACAAGAAGATGACACTCCGCTTCCAAACATAGCGCCTCGCCATTGAAGGCCAACTTGTTGCGAGCTTGAGTAGCATTGGCCTTTGAAGAATATGTGCAAAGGTTGAGGAAGACATAGGTTACACATAATATTAACCAAAATTTAAATCGAGTGGCCACACCAAACATATATGAGTTATGTTCCTCCTCTTTCCGAAACTCCGTGTTCCTTTTCCCATTGTTTTGTAGATTTAGAAACCGGAGATCCATACACTTTTAGATGTATATTTATACATATATAATAACTTGGAGGGGCAAACTTTTAAAAGAGTAAAAAGAATATTCTTATTTTGTTGACATTTTCTTCTTCCAATTCTCTTTTGGCGGCAGAGGGCTACAAGTATTGCAGTAGTGATTGTGGGCATCATATGTGCAGCTCTGGGGACATACTCTTCTGTCTCAAATATCATAAAGCAATATTGATCGGAAGATATGACAAAAGTTGCAATTTTGTTTTCCTTTTTCCTATCAATGGCTCTCACCATATGTAATAATAGATGGCTAGATCCATCTACCATTATTGTCCAAACATGCAAAAATAAAAGTTAAACCTTCCCCCCTATGAAGGTCTTTTAAAAATATTATTGAAATAAAAATTATTTACTATAGTTAATGTACTATAATCTCAGCCATTGGAGTGTAAAAATTGAACATACACCATTATGACTAAATTAATACTATAATCACTATATTTATGAAATCACATATTGTGTCAACCACATTTATTTTAGCTATGTACGTATATGTATTATTTCTTTTATTTATATACGGAGTAGTAAACTATTAGGCTGTAAAAAAATTATTATAAAATTTATATTAATAAATAAAAACTAAATGAATAAACGAGATTAAAATACTCTTTTTAATAACCTTAACGTGCATTTAAAATCCACCTTAATCCGGTCATTTAAGTGGAAGCCACTATGCCCAACAGGGGCATTGTTTCATCCAAATTTCTCTTATTCTACAACACATTTTTAATGCTACCAATTGTGACCGAAAAAGATTGCATATAATTAATGGTCAAAGGTGATGTGGTTTGTCATTAGTTTTTTGGGTTAAGTAATTTATTTGGGCCGTGTAATCAAAGTTTTAAAGAGCTATCAAGGGGTCAAATTTTTATGTTTTGAACTTTAGTTTACTACTCCCTCCGTCCCATATTTAACTCCGGTTTTGACCGGGTACGGGTTTTAAGATAGTGGGATTTGTGTGGTGGAGAGTTATGCAGAGGAGAGAGAAATGTGTAAGAATGGTTGTGAACCACATATTCTTTACCAAAAAGGGAAAAGGGAGATAAATTTGGGACGGACCGAAAAGGAAAGAATGAAGATAATTCCGGGACGGAGGGAGTATAAATTACACTTGGACTATTTCTTGATTGCATTTATCTCTTTTTAAAATATATGAGAATCCATATTGTCAAAACGTGCTTTCTTGGGATATATTTAGGAGATTAAGAGCTTAAGATGATTGTCCTCCGTTTTGTTTGACATTAAACGAAAAAAAAAAAGATGAAGGGTTAAACGTTCTTGCACAACTTCAAAGGATCAACGCCTACAGTTTAATGGGATCTGTTTATGGTTTATAGTATGGCTTAACAAATCATAATAGTATGAAATTGATTTCAATGAGGAACTGCTTAATGGGTTTTTAAAGGGTTGATGGATAGTGTACCCGGGGGTACCTTATCCGAGGGGTTATTACGGGGAGTAACGAGAGAGAAGTCAGAGCAAGTAAATATAGAGAGAGAAAGTATATTATAAGTGTGAAACGTTTTCAGCGTGGTTACAAATGGGGAAATGGGGTGCTATTTATAGTAGCAATAAATGCCGGACAAGGACACGTGTCAAGCGCCCATTGGCCGAGAGGTCACCTCAACTGGTTGGCGCTGGCAGCCCCATGTGGCCGCATTTAATGCGGCTGTTGGATGGGACGTTGTACAGGGTATGGTGATCTGTACGCATGTGGCGCGGATATTATGTCGGGAGAGGTGCCCTCGGCTACAGAGGACTAGCCGAGGGCTCTTAGTGCCGAGGACCCCTGAGTGCCGAGGGCTCCAGGTGCCGAGGGCTACTGTTTTCGCCGTTTTCTCCCAGTTCCTCTGTTTGTTCGAAATATCCATGCTGTGATAGTTTGGAGCCCTCGGCCAGGGGGCCGAGGGCACCCCAATGTGCCTTGAGGGTTGATTTGTGCGTGGGGCGTTATAATTCTGGGCCTGCAATGCTTCTTGGGCTTGTTGGGCCTTTGTTGGAGTAGTGGGAGTCTGTGGGCCGGGGGTTCCCGGGCCATATACTCCATCAGGAGTCCCTCACTCCTTTTGCCGAAAGGTACTTGAGGGAAAAGGAGTAAACTGTGTCTGCCATTTGATGTTGCTCCGTTGTAGTTTGGTGAGGAGTTTGTTGTTTGCGTGTCCCTGCCGAAGGCAGTCCCTCAGTTACCCACATGTCGGGACTTGAGGGATTGCTTTGCCATCTGTAAGGGTTTTTGATATTTTTGTATTTTTGTGATTTTCCCGGAGGGGTTCTCCAGTCCCCCACTCCTTGAGGCACTTGTAAAGTGGTGAAAAGGAGTAGAGTATTATCCGTTGTTGTATGTGGCCGAAGGTTAACGCTTTTCGTTTCATTTTGGGGGGGATGCCTCGTTAAAAACCTCATTAGGAAAAACCCTGTGGGAAAAAATCCTAATGAGAGAAAAAGAGTGCACCGAATTCCGCCAAGGATGAATCAAAAAGGTGAAACCTTGGTTCGAAATGGAGAATAACGGTAATGCCGAAGGCTCTCCTTGTTCTGAGGGCTCATGTGTTGATTAGCCGAAGGCTTGCTGTCGATGTCCTGGGGGTGCCGAAGGGGAGCCCCTCAATCTTGGGATCGAGGGCATGATGGATGAGGGCAGTAGTTGAATTGTCGCCGGGGGGTCCCCTGCTTGCTGGTTAGTTGGTGATGAGGATATCTGAGGGCTCCCATTACCTGTGTGCTGTAGGCTATTCCGTCAATGAGGCATACTCCCCGGGGGCTACCCGGTCCTTACAGTGCTGAGGGGGAATCCCCGAGGGGTGGCCTGTCATGAAGCCTTGGGCTTCTGAAGGAGTGATCCCGAAGGCGTCTGTTATGTGCTGTGTGGGGCACAACCCGGGGGCGTCTCTGGGTAAGTGTACCCGGAGGCTCTCCTTGATGAAGTGGAGTGAAGTAGAAAACCCGGGGGCTTCCAGAATATAGCCGTTGGAAATATAGCCGTTGGAATATGTATCGTCGGGATATAGCCGTTGGGGGAGGAGGACACGTGGCGCGTGATGGTTGGCTGCCCGTGGGCGGCGTCACCGGTTGGGTGAAAACACGGTGCGTAATGATGACGGTCCGTCCGGAGGCCCGGTTTCCGGGCCCAAGCCCGGATTCCAGTGCCTATAAATACCCCAAGGCCAGGCATCCCTCCTTGTGCGAAACCTTGTTAGCGAAGCTCTGCCAATTTTTCTAGAGAGAGAAACAGCAGCCCTCGGTTGAATCCTCTGTTCTCAAGGTCAGTTCCCCCCTGCCCTTTTCCTTCTAATTAGTCGTGCCTTGTGCCCTTAGGTTAGGAGATAGAATTTTCTAGGAAAACCTTAGTTCTCTCGAGCCCTCGAGCTAGAGCCATAATGTCGTCCCAGAGTGATTCTCAAGACATCTCGGGGGCGCCCTCGATGGAGGATGAAGTCCTCTCGGATGCGGAGTCCTCCAGTGCACAGTCCTCGGCCCAGGAGGACGTTGTGATGGCAGTAGAGGTGCAGAAGGAGCTGCTAGCTGAAGTTGAAGCCGAGGGATTCGAGCAGAAGGTGGAAGACGAAGAGCTGACCCTCGCCATGCAAGTTGCAGAGGAGGAGGAAGCAAAAGAGAGGACGAAGGTTGCAGTTGCCGGGGGGGGGGGGGGGTTCTGGGGAAGCAAGTAGCTCGAGGCCGCTAGATCCGACACCTTTGAGGGCGGTCTCCGGGTTGAAGAAGAAGGCGAAGGCCGCTACCAAAAAGAAGGAGAGGGCCGTTGATCAAGGAAAGCCAGTGGACATGCCCGAGGGGTACAGTTGGTTGAACACCGAGGCCCTCGAGATTAAGTCGAAAGCCGATAAGGCAGATTTGTACGTTACTCAGCTGCACGTGGGGCCCTCGGCCGAAGTGGTGGAGCCGGGTCCTGACGACGTGTTGTCCAGGGCGCCCGAGGGGTGTATCGTCGTCCACATCCTCTCGGTTTCTATGGGACTTAGGTTCCCTCTGCACCTGTTCCTTCGGGAGTACCTGAGGTTTGTTGGTTTGGTCCCCTGCCAGCTTACGCCCAACACCCACTCCTACATCGCGGGGTTCCTCCAGCTCTGCAAGTCCCGAGGGGTGAAGCCCACCCTGGATCTATTTTTCCAGAGCTTTAACGTGTGCCGAGGGGGGCACGAAAACGGCGAGGGATACGCAAATTTGCAGCAGATCGCCCGTTTCAAACTATTCTCCAACGCCCCTTCTTCAAACAAAGGGTGGAGGGAACGTTGGTGTTATGTGAAGCTGGACGAGAACCCATTCCTGAGGGAACTGCGCGATCGATTCCGAAGGCACGAAAAGATCAGGAGTGCTGCCCTCGAGAAAGACGGCCTAAAGCTCGCCAAGTTCCCGGAAGGGAAGAATAAGAATGTGGCGATCAAAGATTGCACCCTTGAGGAAGAC